TCCAGTATTGTACATCATTAAAAATATTATATTATATACTAAACTATAGTATCAATTATAGTTTCACGTGAAATTAGGGATTATTTAATAAATTGTGTGTTCCTATTACGTGTATGCCAGATTTATAGTCTCACTTCAGAACAATTTGAATCACATATATAAATTTATACAACAAATTAAAACCCTTGGTGAATACTGATGATAGATTTGTAATGCTTAACGTTTCACAGCTGGTTACAACTTAAAACATTTTCATATATTTTAATATGTTAATTATTATTAATAATATGATTAGTATTTTCTCTCCCAAATGGTCATGGGTAAAGACACTAAGGATATATCAATGCATAAGCAACTTGTAAATAACCAAGTTTCAATTACTTTCTTTCACTGATGTGGAAAACTAACAATTTTACATAACTATTTAAAACAATCATACCATAAAATATATGCATAGATGTTTCATATTATTTTGTGTATTTTGTTTCTATACAATATCTTGCTAAAATGTACCTCAAATACAGATGGGTGATGAACTATTTTTCTTTCTACAGTAACTCTTTGTTTTGTGAGTTATTTTCAATCACAAATAACTAGTGTCATTTATCCTGTTGCGGTAACAGTATATTTATCAGAAAATGTTATCAATTGATGAAAACAGAGACCATATACATGTCGTAGATTATATGGCCTCTGGTGAAAGTCAACAGGCTTCATATTCTGTTAAAATTAAATTAAATAGAAATTATCTTACCTTAGTATCTTTTCCTGGGTTTTGGAGCAATGTCATCATATGAAATTATTCTACTGAACTTTCAAGGATTGTTGCTGTGTGCTGAAGTGTCTGATAGTGACATGCTCCAATTACTACAGTATGTAGAATTGTCTCTGCCATCATATAAGCAAAAATGTAAAAAACAGTTTTCTTTGAATTAAAAAAGTGCCCAAACCTGAGCATTCTTTCATTTAGGGTCTGCATGTATGTGATATTGTCGTTGCCACATATATAGGGCAATAAAAAAACAAACTGAAATCTCAATGAATTAGCTCCAAACTGAACAACAAAAATCATTCATTGCAGGGCTCGGTTTTGGGAAAGGAAATCTATATGCACCTCCTGCTCAATATATAATTATCTATTACTTGTGTTTTAATATTGCTGATTCACAGCATTATTACAACAAATTATTCTGGATCTGGTATGATAATTTTATATTACATATATTACTGACATGATAAAAGTGTAATCATTGCTCCAAGCCAGTGTGGGTCATCAGTCTGTTTCCCAGATGAAATCTGTTTTTTAAGAGCAAATACTTGACCAGTAATTTTTTTTATAAAAATGGACACACGTCAAACAATGTGAAAAACTAGTAGGTAGAATTAAAATTTGAAAGCTCTGCTTTTTGAGGCAACATAAATATTTCAATTTTGCTCCTACTTGGAGAACAAAAGATGTGCTGTTTAGCTGTTTTAATGTCTAAAATAAATACCGATTTTGAGTGAAAGGCATTCACACAGACTATGACTAATCGTATCCGTCATTGTGCGATTTTGCTGTATATAATATATTTATGGGTTAGGTAAATTTTACACACTATATCAATATTATTGCATGAACTTAAATACCAAAAACTTTGTAACAATAATAGACGCAATAAGCATCATCCTCGTGTATAATTCTATAGCCCTGCTCCCTTAGCTGTAGAATAATAGTCAGTAGTCGGGCGTTTTCATGTTGTATTCCACATGACATAATGATTTAAAGAACCCCCGTAGCAGTCAGATTCACAGGTATGGTAAACATGAGGATAATTATGTCATTCATTATATCATGTAATAATCTTTCTTATGTTTATTCTGTTTGGCAGGACGCCGAGCGTGTTTAGGACAGCCCCTGGCTCGTATGGAACTATTCCTGATTCTGACCAGCTTGATTCAGAAGTTTAAGTTCGTCCCTCCAAGTGGAACGCTGCAACCCCTGATAGGAATAATGGGTATTGCCAACAATGCTCCCTCTTTCAAGTGCAAAGCCATACCAAGGAACGTTTGAGAGACTGGATGCTGTATCAGAATCGTTATATGTGCTTGTACTTAATGTTTCTATGTGAAACGTTTCCAGTTCATTTTTAAATGTCAATACACTGGCTGTCGAGCATGACTCAGAACTGATATTTTAACCTCGAAACAGACGCATAAATACATACAAGAGTGGTTCTAGGTGAACGTCGTACCCATCAGAATATGCACTATACGATTACAAAGGCATAGAAGAGACACTATTCCTTTTTGATCCAGCTTTAAATTGATACATGAGCGTATCACCAACAACGATTAACCTTTTCATCTGTTTTAGGACTTGCATAGCAATATAGTTTTCCCAGATTTGGATCAACAGTTTACTCTACTTCCTTAGCTTACATAATCGGAGTGTATTTAGTCCCTGCTCATCAAACGTTTCAGTCGTACAATGGGCTCTGCAGAGGGTTTTGTTGTTTATATCCGCGTAGATAGAGACAGGTGTACATAGAAAGTGGTATGTATAACTTCTTTTACATTTGCATATGAATACTTTGAGATTTGTATTGTTATACATGTACATTTATACCTATATGAATACTTTGAGATTTGTATTGTTATACATGTACATTTATACCTATATGAATACTTTGAGATTTGTATTGTTATACATGTACATTTATACCTATATGAATACTTTGAGATTTGTATTGTTATACATGTACATTTATATACCATTTATATATATGAATACTTTGAGATTTGTATTGTTATACATGTACATTTATACCTATATGAATACTTTGAGATTTGTATTATTATACATGTACATTTATACCTATATGAATACTTTGAGATTTGTATTGTTATACATGTACATTTATACCTATATGAATACTTTGAAATTTGTATTGTTATACATGTACATTTATACCTATATGAATATTTTGAGATTTGTATTGTTATACATATACATTTATACCTATATGAATATTTTGAAGGTATAAAGTTATAAAAAAATCATGTTCGAGTTGTGTCATTGTTTTTCATTACACCATCCCTGTAAGGGGCAGGACAGACAAAACCCAAAAAATGTCTGAGTTATGTCTCACATTTGTCTTACATTTGTCATGTGTGGCTATGTGGAGGTTTCCGGTTCAATATGTATATAATGTGTGAGTGAAAGAACTTGTTCCGGCGTAACCTATCACTTATTCTCTGTGACCTATACATTTGCTGCCATCATAGTGCTGATGGCAGCAAATGTATAGGTCACAGAGAATAAGTGATAGGTTACGCCGGAACAAGTCGTCACAGTCCAACAGTGGAAATTAATAACTAAAACATGGTGGTAATATTCAATGCTTAATGTGCGGAGTAAATTAACAAACTTAACGGAGTAAATGTAAAGGTCGTTGCATGTCAAAATGCGTATAGTGAATGCGTATAGTGAATGTAATCACTCGGGTGTTGAGGTCGATGCATGTTAAAATAATGCGTATAGTGTAGCGCTATGAGCATACCTGGTGTTGAGTTTGACGCCATAAACAATTGCACACATTATTATTATTAATCACTCGGACGTTGAGGTCGATCAATGTTAAAATAATGCGTATAGTTAATGTAATCACCCGGATGTTGAGGTAGGTGTATCTTAAAGTAATGCGTATAGTGAATGTAATCATTTGAGTGTTGAGGTCGAGTCTTGTTAAAATAATGCGTGTAGTGAATATAATCAGTCAGGTGTTGAGGTTGATGAACGTTAACATAATGCGTGTAGTGAATATAATCAGTCGGATGTTGAGGTAGATGCATAGTAAAATAATGTCTGTTGTGAATATAATCACTCTGATGTTGAGGTAGATGTATGTTAAAATATTGCGTATAGTGAATGTAATCACCCGGATGTTGAGATTGATGTATGTTAAAATAATGAGTATAGTGAATGCAATCACTCGGATGTTGAGGTAGATGTATGTTAAAGTAATGCGTATAGTGAATGTAATCACCCGGATGTTGAGGTTGATGTATGTTAAAATAATGCGTATGGTGAATGTAATCACTTGGATGTTGAGGTAGATGTATGTTAAAATAATGAGTATAGTGAATGTAATCACTCGGATGTTGAGGTAGATGTATGTTAAAATAATGCGTATGGTGAATGTAATCACCCGGATGTTGAGATTGATGTATGTTAAAATAATGCGTATAGTGAATGTAATCACTCGGATGTTGAGGTAGATGTATGTTAAAGTAATGCGTATAGTGAATGTAATCACTCGGATGTTGAGGTAGATGTATGTTAAAATAATGCATATAGTGATTGTAATCAGTCGGATGTTGAGGTCGATGTATGTTACAATAATGCGTATTGGGAATATAATCAGTCGGAAGTTGAGGTCGATTCATGTTAAAGTAATGTCTGTAGTGATTGTAATCACTCGGACGTTGAGGTCGATGCATTTTAAAATAATGCGTATAGTTAGTGTAATCACCCGGATGTTGAGTTAGATGTATGTTAAAATAATGCATATAGTGATTGTAATCACCCGGATGTTAAGGTAGATGTTAGAGCCGAATTTTAGGCATTTGCTGTACATGCAAAATATTATATTTGTAACTTTGTTAGGGTTTGTGCGTGAGAGTCTGCATGTGCTAGTATATAGAAATTAGTCGAGACATAAGAATCTGTCAGACCCTGCTGCCAGCAGATGTCCGAGCTACATTCACAGGACTGGTGGCAGCTGTGATTTACCACTGCAACTAAGACTCATAGACTAATTGTCTTTGAGGGGCCCTATGGGTTCTGACCTGATCAACCCCGATAAGTGGCCGACCAAGAATTTAAGTGACACATGTGGAATGAAAGAGTGTGAGAAAGGAACAGAGAGCTTTAAGATACCGAAGAAGTAAGACATGTTTTTTTAAGTTTCTGAGAGAGAATTGTAGGATTGTGTGTTGTGGGCTAAGAGGACATACGGTTTTTCAACCTATCCAGCCACTATCCAGCCACTGTCCAGCCACTGTGAATTGATTGTTTAGACATTGTTTAGTCTCTGTCAAATTAATGTTCAGGTACTGTTATTCTGTCATTGTGTGGATTGTATTGTGAAGAAGTGTAGTAAGAAAGCTCGGAACTTGAGATTAAAGGACATTTTGAAATCACTGGACTGAGTTGACACTTTTACATCCTCTACCCCCCAACAGCGAGATAATTTAAGAACTCACATTCAAAGTTGAAAAACCCGTGAAACTCCGGATGTGAACCTAAGACTTGGACAAAGAATTTTGTGCGGAAGAATTGTGCAATCATCAAAATGGATTAACGCAAACTGGATTAAGGACTCAAAGCTGAAGTAAGTTATTCATTTAGTTTTTCTTAAAGAAGATTGAGCTTGTCAAGCAAATGGAACTGTTATGTGTTCAAGGATGTGCTAACAGGATTTAAGAAGACCACCTGTTCAAGTATTTATTCAGAAACAGGAGGGATTATATTTCATTGGAACTGTGTATTCATTTAGGATTAAGGAATTCAAGAACTGTAAGTTATTTCAAGATTATTCGAACTGTTTGACTAATTTTTCACCATGGCAAGCAGAACATTGAGCGATACTGTTCACGGTGATAAAGGACTGACTAATGAGCCTAGGAGAAATGCTAAATCTGTGATAACAGAATCACGAATAAGAAAACCAATGGAAAAGGGCCAAAGCTATAATTTGAATATAGCACTGGAAAAAAGAAAATTCCTGTACAAACAAGTGTGTTCAAAGGTAAATTATATTGAATACCTGATGAGCTCTGATGCTCTGGATGATGTAAAAATTGAGTTTCAAGAATGGAAAGAACTATTATCGAAATTTAAAGAATCGGCTGAAACGTATCACAATAAACTTGAAAGTCAATCCGCGAAAGAGGAAGACGAAGCCTGGTTCCAGTCACAGTTGGGTGCCTTAGTACAGTTTGAGACAAATGTTGCTTCGTTTATTAAACCCTGTGATACAGAAAATGAAATAAGGCCTGAAGATAGCGTTTCACAAGTCGGAACACGTAAGGGTTCAGTCATATCATCTGCTTACTCTGCTAAAATGGAAATCTTGGCAAAAAGGGCCGAACTTGTTGCTAGACAGAAAGGATTAGAGCAAAAGCATCAACTGGAAGAAGAAGAGAATAGGCTAAAACAAAGGAGAGAAAGATTAGAACTCGAGACAGAAGTGGAAATCGCAAATGCCCAGTATGCAATTTTTGACCAGTATGACCAAGAATCTAACAGTTCGCAAAAGAAAGATCATTCTCAAAATAATGCAGCTTGTGGTAGAACACCAGAAGCTAGCCAGTCTACCCATTAGAAAAATACCTACGTTTAGTGGCGACCCATTACAATTTAAGCCTTTCATAAGAGCTTTTGAACATGGCATAGAAGACAAGACCATTAATCCCAAGGATAGACTCTATTACTTGGACCAGTACACCATCGGTGAACCAAATGACTTGATAAGAAGCTGTATTCACATGAATCCGGAAAGTGGTTATGAACAAGCCAGGTCATTGTTGGATAAGAAATTTGGGAACAAATACAAGCTTGCAGCAGCTTACATGGACAAAGCCTTGAAATGGCCAGCTATAAAGTCAGAAGACAGTGACGCACTTACCAGCTTTTCTATATTACTGACAAGTTGTGGAAATACCATGGCAGATAAAGAGTACATGAGAGAATTAGAACATCCCAAAAACCTCAGGGAACTGATTCAAAAGTTGCCATACAAATTAAGAGAAAGATGGAGGGCAGTTTCATTTGATATCTTGGAAAGAAGAAATGTCACCTTTGCAGACCTTGTTCGTTTCGTGGATAGACAAGCACAGATACTGTCGAGCCCACTGTTTGGCACAATTGCCGACGACAGACAAGCTCAACCAAAGCCTAACCCGAAAGAAGCACCTAAGAGATTTAAGAGCTTTGCCACTGATACATCGAAATCTGAATCGCGAATTCATGAGGTGGCAACCAAAGAAACCTACCCTGGTCAGGCAAAATCAGTAACACATAGTAAGCCATTCACAGCACGAGAGAGAGCTTTGAGGGCATTCGCCAAGCCATGCTGGTTCTGCGACGAGGATCACTGTATGGAAATGTGCATGAGACTTCAGTGTAAGACACTGGATGAAAAAATTGACTTTCTAAGACCAAAGGGATTGTGTTTTGGCTGTCTACAGTTCGGACACACAAGTCGCCAGTGCCCCAGCAGATTGACCTGTCATATCTGCAAAATGAGACATGCAACGTGTTTCCATGACAACAATAAAGATAAACTAAAGAAGGAAAAGGATCAGACGAAGCCAAAGGTTGTAACAAACAACAGTTTGGCTACACGTCACAGTGAAGATCTCAAAGACATATGCCTTCCTTGACAACGGCAGTTCAGCAACGTTCTGCACAAGCAGGTTGGCTGACGAGCTTCATGTCACAGGGGAAGATGACAAATATAGTTGTCAGCACCATGACTCAAAAGAAGACTGTGAATACCTCCATTCTAACAAACCTAGAAGTAGGTGACATCCATGGAAGGAACTGGATCAAATTACCTACAGTATTCACACAAGATGAAATGCCTATTTCCACAAGCACTATTCCCAAAGAAGATTTCATTCATCAATGGCCGCATCTATGGGACGTCACACTACCACCTATAGATGCAGAGATAGGGCTGCTAATTGGCAACAATGTACCTATGGCATTGGAACCCCTGGAAATAGTCAACAGTCATGGTAACGGACCCTATGCTGTAAGAACGATTGTTGGCTGGATGATAAATGGTCTTGTCCAGGAATCTGAATCTCAACAGAACTGATGTTCTAGCAGACGAGTCCCTTGATCATCAGTTGAGAGGATACTTCGACAGAGAATTTAACGAGCGCCTCAGCAATGATAAAGAAGAACTGTCAAGAAATGATCAGCATTTCTTGGATATAATGAACTCATCCAAGAGATTAACAGGAGGACACTACCAGATGTCTCTGCCATTCAAAGATTCCAAAATCAACTTACCAAACAATAAAGTACAGGCCAAAGAAAGAGCTTTTTCGCTTAAGAAGAAGTTTCTGAAGAACGATGCTTTCTACAGAGATTACAAAGGCTTTATGAAGGATCTCCTAGATAAAGATTATGCCCAAAGGGTTCCCGAGAGTAAGAAAGATCGTCAGGATGGGAAGGTGTGGTACATACCACATGATGGTGTATACCATCCAAAGAAAACAGGTAAGATAAGAGTGGTATTCGACTGTGCAGCAGAATACAGAGGAAAATCACTAAATGACCACCTGCTACAGGGGCCGGATCTCACCAATGCCTTAATCGGAGTGCTCCTGAGATTTCGCCAAGAACCAATAGCTCTAATGGCGGACATTGAAGCCATGTTTTACCAGGTCAGAGTTGAACCAGATGATTATGATGTTCTAAGATTCTTTTGGTGGCCCAATGGAAATCTCGATGAAGAATTACAGGAATATCAGATGAAAGTGCACTTGTTTGGCGCTGTCTCTTCACCAAGTTGTGCCAACTTTGCACTGAAAGAAACAGCAAAAGACAACAAGGACATGTTTAGCAACAATGTGATCCATGCCCTTGAAAACAGTTTCTATGTGGATGACTGTCTCACGTCAGTCGCGTCTGACGAAATAGCGATTGAGATGTCACAGAAACTGAGAGAAATCTGCAGTAAAGGTGGATTCCGTTTGACAAAATGGATAAGTAACAGCAGAGCTGCAATAAACTCAATCCCAGAAGAGGATCGAGCCAAAGAAGTTAAAGACTTAGACATAGATGATGCCTTGCCAGTGGAGAGGGCATTAGGTGTACAATGGTGTGTCGAATCAGACACATTTAAGTTCAGGATAGCAGTCAAAGACAAACCAGCAACGAGAAGAGGCATTCTGTCAACTGTCAGCTCCATATATGATCCACTGGGATTCGCAGGTCCTTTTGTTCTCAAAGCAAAGGGAATCCTACAAGACCTTTGCAGACTTAAGATAGGATGGGACGACGTCATTCCTATACCGTCCCAGAAAGACTGGACCAAATGGTTGTCAGAACTACAAAGGCTTGAGGAAATGAAGATAAGAAGGTGCATTCAACCCAAGGATAGTGATCAGAATGCAATATCCCAAATACACCACTTCTCAGATGCCAGTCAAAAGGGTTATGGAACTGTTTCCTATTTAAGACAAGTCAGTACCACTGGAAAAGTTAATTACTCATTTCTTATTAGCAAGTCTAGAGTTGCTCTACTTAAGACCATCACAATCCCAAGAATGGAGCTATCAGCTGCGACTTTAGCAATACGAGTGGACAGCATGCTCAAGCGTGAGCTGGACATTTCAGTTGATCAAACCTACTTCTGGACAGACAGCATGTCAGTTTTAAGATACATCGCCAATGATTCAAAGCGATTCCACACCTTTGTAGCAAATAGGCTATCAGTGATTCATGAAGGGTCAGCCCCATCACAATGGAAATATGTGGATACTCAAAACAATCCCGCAGACGAAGCATCTCGAGGACTGTCAATAGATGCATTTCTGAAAGATTCCAGATGGATTTCTGGACCAGGGTTCTTATGGGAAAATCAAGAAATGTGGCCCCAGCAGACACACATTTCAAATGACATTCCAATGAAAGATGTGGAATTAAGGAAGCTTGCTCAGGTCAACCAGATAGAATACAGCAAGCCATGCAAAGAAGTAGATAGCCTTATCAGTCGCTATTCGGACTGGTTTGCTCTAAAGAAGGCTATTGCATGGGTACTCAGGATACGGGAAGAACTCCTAGATCGGAGTAAAATGAAGAAGGCAGGTTTAACACCACAGAAAAGGAAGCCTGTCGTGTTGACAGTAACAGAATTGGAAGAATCTGAGAAAGCCATTATATGGTATGTTCAACAGCAGAACTTTTCAAGTGAGCTTGAAAGACTTACCTCAAACAATGGACTTAATCTGAACAAAGGCAGTCCAATCTCCAAGCTTGATCCATTTGTAGAAGATGGTATAATTAGAGTGGGTGGACGTTTAAGTAGGGCCAACATGCCAGAGAGCGCGATGCACCCAGTGATTCTACCAAAGAAATCTCATGTGTCAGAACTGATAATTCGTCACATCCATCGTGAGTGTGGACATTCAGGCAGAAACTTTGTACTTTCAAAATTGTTTGAGAAATATTGGATTATCAAAGCCAATGCAGCAGTGAGACAAGAGCTACACAGATGTGTGACTTGCCGCCGTACCCATGCTGAAGCAGGTAATCAAAAGATGGCTGACTTGCCTGCTCACCGTGTGACTCCCGATGAACCTCCGTTCACCTTTGTTGGAGTGGATTACTTTGGTCCATTCGACGTAAAATGCAGAAGAAAGCACGAAAAAAGATTTGGAGTTTTGTTCACGTGCCTTACAACACGTGCAGTGCACATAGAAGTGGCACATAGTTTAGACACTGACTCTTGTATAAATGCACTGCGTCGTTTCATCGCTAGAAGAGGTCAAGTGAAAGTCATCAGATCAGATAATGGCACCAACTTCGTTGGAAGTGAACGTGAGTTAAGGGAAGAAATTGAGAAATGGAACAAATGTCAGATTCAACAAGAGATGCTACAAAGAAGTATTGAATGGACATTCAATCCTCCGACTGGTTCCCACCATGGTGGCGTGTGGGAGCGACAAATCAGAACTGTGAGGAAGGTATTAAGATCACTCGTAAGAGAACAAACTTTGGACGATGAAACTTTACGAACAGTGCTGTGTGAAATAGAGGCTATTGTTAACAATAGACCTATATCCAAAGCATCAAGTGACCCAAATGATTTGGAAGCACTCACTCCAAATCACTTGCTGCTCATGAAGAGAAAACCGAATTTGCCGCCGGGTATGTCTGACTTGGGTGGTTCATATCCAAGACGTCGGTGGCGCCAAGTGCAGTATATGGCGGATTTGTTCTGGAAGAGATGGTTAAGAGAGTATCTGCCATTACTACAAGAACGACAGAAGTGGGTGAAGATAAGAAGAAATTTGAAGATTGGTGACATCGTGCTCATAGTGGACAATACAGCACCTAGAAATTCCTGGTCAATGGGCAAAGTTGTGAAGCTTATGCCAGATAGAAAGGGTGTTGTTAGACGTGTCGAAGTGAAAACCCAGACAAAGGTTTTGGACAGACCAATCAGCAAGCTGTGCTTGCTTCTTGAGAGTGACACTTAAACTGTGTTTTGAGACTGTAACTTGACAACGAGTCTGAAGTTAAGACGAAGAGCATCGACTAGTAATATGTTCGATTAGTTCTTGCATACTGTAATATACTAAGATTATAACTCAGAGAGAATGTCCACTTCTAGTTGTTAAGCCAATTAATGTAGCTTAGGATGACATTGTTTAAAGTAAAAAATTCGCTCTATACAATTTTATGGTAATTGTTACATTCAGATATAAGTAACAATTAGGGGCCGGAATGTTAGAGCCGAATTTTAGGCATTTGCTGTACATGCAAAATATTATATTTGTAACTTTGTTAGGGTTTGTGCGTGAGAGGCTGCATGTGCTAGTATATAGAAATTAGTCGAGACATAAGAATCTGTCAGACCCTGCTGCCAGCAGATGTCCGAGCTACATTCACAGGACTGGTGGCAGCTGTGATTTACCACTGCAACTAAGACTCATAGACTAATTGTCTTTGAGGGGTCCTATGGGTTTTGACCAGATCAACCACGATAAGTGGCCGACCAAGAATGTTAGTGACACATGTGGAATGAAAGAGTGTGAGAAAGGGACAGAGAGCTTTAAGATACCGAAGAAGTAAGACATGTTTTAAGTTTCTGAGAGAGAATTGTATGATTGTGTGTTGTGGGCTAAGAGGACATACGGTTTTTCAATCTATCCAGGAACTGTCCAGCCACTGTCCAGCCACTGTCCAGCCACTGTGAATTAATTGTTTAGACATTGTCTAGTCACTGTCAAATTAATGTTCAGGTACTGTTATTCTGTCATCGTGTGGATTGTATTGTGAAGAAGTGTAGTAAGAAAGCTCGGAACTTGAGATTAAAGGACATTTTGAAATCACTGGACTGAGTTGATACTTTTACATCCTCTACCCCCAACAGCGAGATAATTTAAGAACTCACAGCGCTGGGGAAAATTGTGTAAAACGATCTCCTGAAATATTGTCGTGATTTGTTAGTCTTCAAATCTCCTATTGTGCTGGTTATTTCAGCGTTAAATGAGACGGAATAGTACAGTATATTTCCCATTTCAACAGTCCGGTATGTCACCTGTTTCTGACCATGTAAATAACATGCCTTACCAGCAGGTGAACTTTGTATGTGTTTATGAAAGGTATTTATTTATTTATTATTTATTTTCATCATTTATCTTATTTTTAGGTACAAAATCATGACTTCAAATGACAAACAAATATATACCATGCGTTTGCATGCAGAGTTTGGCGGTATCTGACACTGACAAGCATATTATAACAATGACATTGTAGGAAAATGGGCAAGTTAATAGCAATCAAACAATTGATGGCAATCAGACCAGAATCCAACAAATTTAGTACAATTACAAGAAGAGATTGCATGTGTTTTATCGATATTGTAAACTTAACTTATTTCCTTTCTGATCATATCGAAACCTGGTGTACGGAGTAAAAGGCTTTTTCGATATCGATCAGTAGTAACATTGCCGGAATTTCCATAGTTTCTGTATAATCCATTATGTGGTATATCAGTCTTGTGCATTCTCCAATATATCTATTAGCAAGGAATCATTTTTGATCTTCGTTAATAATTGAAGCCAATACCCTTTTCATTCTTTTTGCTACTTTTTCCGACCTGATCTTTGATGACACATTCAGTGAGTGAGTGAGTTAATATTGAACGTCACATCGGCAATATCTCAGCCATATCGTGACGAAAACAATTTATACAATAAAAAGTGAAATGAGAACATTTGACATTGAAGTGCAATATATGTACGTTATAAAAACCTGTTGACGAAGGACAGTTAAAACAACAATTACATCTAAACTAGTGTGGAGAGTTAAAACTGATAGCACTATTTGGACAATACAATATAAAAACAGGCTATAGATCGCCAACACCAGAAGGTAGATCACCATACCAGGGACCATGGGGACTTACAGTACCTTTGCTACCTGCATGGACCCTAGTTGGATTGACACCATCCCTTCAGCTGCTGGCGATTGTAAGAAATGTAAGCCAAAATTAAAACGACAAGAATGCTAGTAGGGTAAATTTAATAAGTAAAGGTTCAGGTTCAGATTTCCAGTTAATACGATACATGGAGTCACGTGAACTATGACATCATCAAGGGCAAGTTCATAGGCATAGGTCATGAACCCTCACAGGTGTGCACGATATCACAGGTCACATGAGTCAACGTAGTAGGACTTCCATATACGGGCATTCGTTACTCTGCACCGATTCTGCTTCCTCAAGGCTCCGTTAATGAATTTCATTGGTGCAGCGTGATTACAGAATGCCCTTTGACCTTTCTGACCTGTGATATCGTGCACACCTGTGAGGGTTCATGCCCTTGATGATGTCATCGTTCACGTGACTCCATGTATCGAATTATCCGGAAGTCTGATGACGTCAGACTTCCGGTCACGTGACCTGCACCTCCTCAATGAGGTGCTTTACTTATTAAATTTACCCTACTAGCATTCTTGTCGTTTTAATTTTGGCTTACATTTCTTACAATCGCCAGCAGCTGAAGGGATGGTGTAAATCCAACTAGGGTCCATGCAGGTAGCAAAGGTACTGTAAGTCCCCATGGTCCCTGGTATGGTGATCTACCTTCTGGTGTTGGCGATCTATAGCCTGTTTTTATATTGTATTGTCCAAATAGTGCTATCAGTTTTAACTCTCCACACTAGTTTTAGTTGTAATTGTTGTTTTTACTGTCCTTCGTCAACAGGTGTTTATAACGTACATATATTGCACTTCAATGTCAAATGTTCTCATTTCACTTTTTATTGTATAAATTGTTTTCGTCACGATATGGCTGAGATATTGCCGATGTGACGTTCAATATTAACTCACTCACTCACTGAATGTGCCATCAAAGATCAGGTCGGAAACAGTAGCAAAAAGAATTAAAAGGGTATTGGCTTCAATTATTAACGAAGATCAAAAATGATTCCTTGCTAATAGATATATTGGAGAATGCACAAGACTGATATACCACACAATGGATTATACAGAAACTATGGAAATTCCGGCAATGTTACTACTGATCGATTTCGAAAAAGCCTTTGACTCCGTACACCAGGTTTCGATATGATCAGAAAGGAAATAAGTTAAGTTTACAATATCGATAAAACACATGCAATCTCTTCTTGTAATTGTACTAAATTTGTTGGATTCTGGTCTGATTGCCATCAATTGTTTGATTGCTATTAACTTGCCCATTTTCCTACAATGTCATTTCTTATAATATGCTTGTCAGTGTCAGATACCGCCAAACTCTGCATGCAAACGCATGGTATATATTTGGTTGTCATTTGATGTCATGATTATGTACCTAAAAATAAGATAAATGACGAAAATAAATAATAAATAAATAAATACCTTTCATAAACACATACAAAGTTCACCTGCTGGTAAGGCATGTTATTTACATAGTCAGAAACAGGTGACATACCGGACTGTTGAAATGGGAAATATACTGTACTATTCCGTCTCATTTAACGCTGAAATAACCAGCACAATAGGAGATTTGAAGACTAACAAATCACCGAGATACGACAATATTTCAGGAGATCGTTTTACACAATTCGAAGGACAACATTTCACCTGCGTGTTGTACTTTGTTATGAAATCATGACATTTCACTTTTCCCCAGCGTATTTCACTACACACAGTATTTAACATGCAATGACCTCAACGTCCGAGTGATTATATTCACTACAGACATTATTTTAACATTCATCGGCCTCAACATCCGACTGGTTGTATTCACTACACGCATGAATTTAACATGCGTCGACCTCAACATCCGGGTGATTACATTCACAACACGCGTACGCATTATTTCAACATGCATCGATCTCAACATCCAAGTGATTATATTCCCCATACGCATTATTTTAACATGCATCGACCTCAACGTCCGAGTGATTATATTCACTACAGACATTATTTTACTATGCATCTACCTCAACATCCGACTGATTATATTCACTACACGTACACATGACTTGATGGAGCCCTACCAATCAGCGAACAGGTCAAAGCACAGTACAGAGACTGCGCTAGTCAAAGTACACAATGACATCATGACTGCCATGGACCAGCGTCAGGTGACTCTCCTTGTTCTTTTGGATCTCTCCAGTGCTTTTGATACTGTTGATCACCAAATTCTTCTGCAGCGTCTGAAGGTCAGAGTCGGTATCGATGGAATTGTCCTTGACTGGGTACGTTCTTACCTATCTGATAGGTCACAGTCCGTCAAAGTGGAATCTGTACTGTCCACTGCATCACCACTCCACTATGGCGTTCCCCAAGTATCTGTCCTTGGACCTTTACTGTTTAGTCTGTACATTCTTCCCATTGGTGACATTGTCCGAAAGCACTCACTGAAATTTCATCTTTATGCTGATGACAATCAGTTATATCTGTCAGCAGAGCCTAACCTTGCTGAAGATTGTGCACTGAAGATACAACAATGTATTGCTGAAATAAGAGACTGGATGACCTTGAACTTTCTGAAATTGAATGACACAAAGACTGAGTTCTTAACCATCGGATCCAGGCATCAACTTTCCAAAGTGCCCGACAGTTTATCTCTTGAAATTGGACAAGATGTTATCACGCAGTCAGACTCTGCTAAAAATCTTGGTGTCATCTTTCAATCAACAATGTCATTAGAAAATCAAATCAAATCACTCAGCAAAGGATGCTTCTATCATATCTTCAATATTAGCAAGATCCGAACCCTCTTAGACTTCAACACCGCCCAGCTTCTAACGACCAGCCTTGTTCTCTCTAAACTTGATTACTGCAACTCCCTCTATTACAACATTCCTCAACAGCTCCTTTCGCAACTCCAACGGATTCAGAATTCAGCCGCCCGTGTTGTTGCCCTTGCACCACGCTACCAAACTGTGACACCTATCCTCCAAACTCTTCACTGGCTTCCCGTATCAAGAAGAATTCAATACAAACTTCTTCTTCTTACACACAGCTGCATCTATGAAAACATGTTTTCTCAATATCTTAAAAGCCTCCTTCATCTCCATGTTCCAAGCCGATTGCTCCGCTCGTCAAACTCCCTACTGCTTACACAGCCTCACGTCAAAACAGCCATGGGATCAAGAGCGTTCTCTGCTGCAGCCCCCTATCTCTGGAACATTCTACCACTCACCCTAAAAGAAATAGAATCTGCTGATGCTTTCAAAACTGCCCTCAAAACTCATCTGTTCAAACTCTCTTTTCCATAGACATTGTCTACAATCTTTTCTCTTCATAGCGCCATTGAGCAATATCTTTTGGAAATAGGCGCTCTATAAATCAATTATTATTATTATTTTCTTAACGTTCATCAACCTCAACACCTGACTGATTATATTCACTACACGCATTATTTTAACAAGACTCGACCTCAACACTCAAGTGATTACATTCACTATACTCATTACTTTAAGATACACCTACCTCAACATCCGGGTGATTACATTAACTATACGCATTATTTTAACATTGATCGACCTCAACGTCCGAGTGATTAATAATAATAATGTGTGCAATTGTATATGGCGTCAAACTCAACACCAGGTATGCTCATAGCGCTACACTATACGCATTATTTTAACATGCATCGACCCCAACACCCGAGTGATTACATTCACTATACGCATTATTTTGACATACAGCTACCTAAACATCCGGGTGATTATATTCCCTGTACACATTATTTTAACATGCATCTATCTCAACATCCAACTGATTATATTCACTGCACGCATTATTTAAACATTCATCGAGCTCAACATCTGAGTAATTATATTCCCAATATTATTGTAACGCATCAACCTAAACATCCGATTGTATTCCCAATACGCTTTATTGTAACATACGTCGATCTGAACATCCGGGTGATTACAATCACTATATGCATTATTTTAACATACATCTAACTGAACATCCGCATGATTAAAATCACTAAACGCATTATTTAAAAATACATCGACCTCAACACCCGTGTGATTGCATTCACTATACGCATTATTTTAACATACATCGACCTCAACATCCAGGTGATTATATTCCCAATATGCATTATTGTAACATGCATCTATCTCAACATCCGGGTGATAACATTCACCATACGCATTATTTTAACATGGATCGATCTCAACATCAGGGTGATTACATTCATTAAACGCATTATTTTAATATACACAGATCTCAACATCCAGGTGATTACATTAACTATACTTATTATTTTAACATACACCGACTTCAACATCCGGGTGATTACATTGACATTACACATTATCTTAACATACATCGACCTCAACATCCTGATGATTACAATCACTATACGTATTATTTTAACAAACATCTACCTCAACATCCGGGTGATTACATTAACTATACGCATTATTTTAACATGCATCGACCTCAACATCCGGGTGATTACATTCACCATGTGCATTATTTTAACATACATCTACCTCAACATCCGGGTGATTACATTAATTATACACATTATTTTAACATTCATCGGCCTCAACATCCGAGTGATTAATAATAAAAAAAAATTCCTTTTATATAGCATCAAATTCCACACCATGTAGGCTCACAGAGCTACACCATACGCGTTAATTTTAACATGCATCGACTTCAACGGCCGAGTGAATATTTTCAACGTTTGTTTTTTTTCCCAGCCTCAAGACATGAAACGAAGTGGTATCACATCTCCCCTGCCCGCTCTCGCCCGTCCTCCTCTCCCCCATCCCCTCCTCTCTCCTTCAACGATAAACAATAAACATTTCTCCCTCAGCTCACCGTGACACATGGAAAACATACTACTGCAACCGTGCCTTCGCGTGAATATGGTTCTATTTTTTAACTGTTGGAACACGACAGATCAACAGCTGACATCCCAATTGAGGGTGACTGATGGAATCTAGCCCCGCGAGAAAATTCGCGGAAACGTAGTAGGACTTCCATATACGGGCGGGGCGGTGGGGTAGCCTAGTGGTTAAAGCGTTGGCTCGTCACGCCGAAGACCCGGGTTCGATTCCCCACATGGGCACAATGTGTTAAGCCCATTTCTGGTGTCCCCCGCCGTGATATAGCTGGAATATTGCTAAAAGCGGCGTAAAACTAAACTCAGTCAGCCAGGCCATATACGGGCATTCGTTACTATGCACCGATTCTGCTTCCTCAAGGCTCCGTTAATGAATTGCATTGGTGCAGCGTGATTACAGAATGCCCTTTGACCTTTCTAACCAGTGATACCGTGCTTACCTCTGAGGGTTCAGTTCATGAGTTGGAAACTTCCAATCATAAAATATTTATCTATTTACAAATTAGTTAACAAATCTAATTCTTTTACCAATGCAATAATTAAATGAGAACTGACATTAGTAAAAAGATCCTTCATAGTTCGTGCTTTGAAATAGTTATCCCTTGTGATGGAATGTTCAATGCAGTCAAGCAGGACATGCTTGACCGTGATTCTTTCATCACAAGGGATGCAAAACGGAGGATCCTCACCTTTAAGCAAGTATTCATGTGTATATCTTGTGTGGCCAATACGACATCGTTGTATGATGACCTCTTCAAATTTGGACTGACAACCCAAGTAGGTGTAACCAATGTAAGGTTTTATTTCATATAATTTATAAATACCCACTTGGGTGTCCCACTTCCTCTGCATCAGATCACGGACATAAGTTCTAATGCTAGCTTTGTAATCAGAGTATGGAATAAGAAGCGGTGTCACAGATTTGTTGAGTGCCGCCCTGGCAGCAAGATCGGCCATTGTATTCCCAGAAATGCCAACGCGGCAGGGCAAGACACATTCAGTAACGATATCGGTCTCCAAATAATATTTATATGTTTTCTGTTGGGCAATTCTATTAGGTCTACTCCCATTTGTGAGAACTCCCAGTTGTGAGACTCCCAGTTGTGAGACAGTGGGGTAGGTAATTAGCAAGGAAAACACACCTTACTCCCCTATCTGATAGAATGGATTAACCCCTGCTAATTATGGATAAGCTATATAACTGAATCTTGTGGAGGTAACTTAATGAAACTCTAAAAGATAAAGTAATTAACCTACTCAGATAAACGGCTTTAAAAAATAAACACTTTGTGTAGGTAACTTCGTGATCATTTGAAAGAGAAATTAATTTACCTACTCAGATTTACGTGTTTGAAAAATCTAGCAATAACTGTTGTAACTATAATTAATCCAAATGTATTAATTAATCTTTGACTGCTCTTTCCGATCACCATTATGGCAGGCCTTCAACAAGTAGAATATATCACCAGTTCACGATAATCTTTTTCAGTATTTCAGTATCTATTGAAAACAATAAATGCTCTTCAACGAACAATGTCTTCTGTGTTGATTAACGCATTAATGAACTATGCCTCCTGCGGGTACTCTTCAGCAACAGGGCTGTTCCCACTTTCATCGTAGGGATGGGGAAGCACCACCTGTGTGCACTGAACCATTAATTAATGTGTCTCACAACTGGGAGTTCTCACAAATGGGAGGACACCTTCTATTAAGCAGACGCAGGTGACAGCATGTAGTTAATCTGTGCACTGGACCATAACATGTGTTGTTTTAAGCTGTAGTTCTTATGGGATGTAGTTCTTGTGTGAGGACGCCTTATGACTGGTAGCGTCAATGGAATGAAATATTACTAAATGGTTTTATCGTGTTTATCATAATGCTAATAGAAATTGTTTTACTGCGTTCATTTATTTACATGTAATCAAGTGGAAATCTTTTCATGTTATCAACTGAGATCAGTGACTAAACGTAACATCTTTGCGAGTATGGTCCCAGGGGGTAGCCTAGTGGTTAAAGCGTTCGCTCGTCACACCGAAGGCTCGGGTTCGATTCTCCATATGGGCACAATGTTTGAAGCCAATTCTTGGTGTCCCCCGCCGTGATATTGCTGGAATATTGTTAAAGTGAGTGAGTGAGTTGAATTTTACGCATAAAACCAGACAATCCAACACACTCATTCATTCTATGTAATCAGTAATCAACGACAAGCAGTCGTAACAAGAATGGGTTGCTAAGACCTAAATATACTCATACCAAATAATCGTTGTATACTCACCCGTTGTCACCCCAACCCCCACCCTCACACACCCCCCTCTCAATTTAAAAAACTGAAGGGGGTGACAACCATTATTGGCATGAGTATATAATGCTCTATACATGTTTTGTTTGTATGTTGAATAACGCCGTACTCGGTAAGGGCTTCCTGTCCATAATCATGTCTGGTATTCAGAGAACAATGTATAATTACTAGTATATCATAGATCAATAAAATTAAAACATAAAAGATTGTTGACGAAGAACAGTAAAACTATTAGTGTATCACATATATCCTTTTAAAACTAGAAATTAAATCTAAAACACTTAAACTAGAAATGACAACACAATGCATAAACGGGCTTAAATATATACTAAATTGATATTTGAGGCGAGCCTGTGTTGTTGTGACCCACGGTCAGTAGGACTGTTCCAAATGGGCGAGCACATATAAAACTTCAACACCCTGCGAAACCCCACGCATCCCAAGGCGGGATAGGTCTGCCGAAGTGGCAACAGGCGAAGGCGACCTCCAAAGCACATAACCAACGAACGAACAATGCGAAGGCTCAAAGTGCGAGAAATATGACCTACATTTGGTGAGGTGGTGTTAAAATGGCAGCCATGTTAAATTCAAACACTGCTGCTGTTATGGCTTCTATCGCACTGCTGGTGGGGATGTTGATGTTTAATACATCTCTGATACTGGTGTTTGTTACTGTATTACTAATACTGTGGCTGTCAACACGGCGTCCTGCTGGATTACCACCCGGACCTCCACTTCTACCACTGGTGGGCAACATTTTTCAAATAGACGCAGACCCCCCGAGTCGCTTTCAGCAATCTGCGACGTCAGTATGGCGACATCTTCAGCGTGTACTTCTTCCACAAGCCGGTTATCGTCCTCAACGGCTACGATGTTATCAAGGAGGCCCTGGTCAAGAACGCCGACGTTTTTTCATACAGGCCTCATTCCTTTTTCATGGATATGTTGTGTGAGGGCAAAGGTAGGTAACTGTTTAGTTTGCATTAAGAAGTTCTAGGGGACAGTTGTTACATGGGTAAGTCGGTGGGCAGACAATAAGCCCACTGGGATAAAAAGCCCTCGGACAAAACACCCCTAGGGTAAATGCCCCCAGGACAAAAAGCCCTTGCAAATTTCAGCCCATAGGATAAAACACCCTCAGTCACATTTCTTCAGCATAAATAGACATAAAGCTGCATTAGGTTTTAATAGTAGATGACTGTACGTACGCAAATTGATGAAAGTCTGAACATATTTTGCTCAGAGCTGTGCCGATCAACTGATGAACGTAAACAATCGATAGGTGGCGCGATTTGGCGAGTGGCTCGTGAGAAATTATGTCATTAGAAAATACCATGGAAACGTAAGTACCACGGAATCATATGACGGCATGGTTACATATGCTATTTAATGTTATATTATATTGTATTAATGTGGGAATGAAAAAAAGATTTGTTGGTATTCTATTACATCTCTTCATTGAGGACCTTTTGTCCCACCCATTGAGTGCTTTTTGTCATGGGGACATTTAGCCTAGGGGTGTTTTGTCTGAGGGTGTTATGTCCTTGTGGGCCTATTGTCCTACCACCGTTACATACCACCTTTACCACTGTTTTAGACATCACACGTTTTTGGATGCTGGCGTTTACCCTCGCTAAAACGAGGGTAGTTGCGTCAACCAGACCTTACAAATAGTTGGATGACTGCTTTTGTTTCATATAAGGTTGTCTTTTGAAATTTTGTGAAACCATTTACAGTTCTATATCAGCGAAAAACTGCAAATACTTTATTAGCCATCCGAATACCTGGAATGCGATGACATGTTTTACGCCAAACGGCACTTCGACAAAAGAAAGGCCAAGGGAGAGAAAACAGCGATTATGAGCTGAAAGCCTTGACTAATAGTGAAGCTGAAGTTGACTCGAGTATCTGAAAATGTTTGAAAAGTGATACACAAAGTATGTCACCACTATTGCCCAGAACAATGCATATGGCACCTGTTAACAGAATGGTGATTAGTGAGACTTAAATATTTATTCATTTTCGGAGCATATTTGGTATGCAACCAAACTGATTGATATGCTAAAATATGTATGACATCATTGGTAACAGAAACTGCGTTCGAACTTTGAAACACATTCATTGATTTCTTTGTTTTTTTACTCAGCAATATTAATCAACTATGTAAACTGTGACATATATCAACCAAGCCAGTGAACCTGACCACATGATCCCTTCAGTTTTCTCTTACAACAAAAGGATCGATTGCTGACGATTCACTCTTACCCGCATCTTGATGGGTGTTGGGATATCAGTCACCTTGACCCCACTAGTCGGTAGATGTTCTGTTTGTAATTTCTGTTTTTCCCATTTATATAACATATTGAAATCGTGAGGTTACTGGTCTAAATACACGACTTCGTCTAGTTGATAATTTTGTGAGGCCTCCTCCTTGTTGAGAAGTAGAGACCTCTCTCTAAGATGGGGAATTGTGTTGTTGGGGAACCTTGAACAGAGAAGGAAACCGTGAGCACAGAATTGTGACGTCATCCGTTTATTTCTGGAGTGCAAGTGATGGTTAGGACCTACACCTGCCCGCCATATATACCCCTTAACCCGGAACACAGTGATTTGTCATCTCGTGCCACGCACACAGTTTCCATTCAAGATGACCAGCTCGCATGACAAACAAAAACCATCTTTGTTTTAACTGCCTATGTCCATCGTATAGATAGATATGACCGGGGGGAAGAGTTACTTGTGCACAATAGCCCCACTGACTTTTCACATTTTATTGCACCGCAGTGCAGGCATAGATTTTCTGTGCAGTGACATGTTTGCCTAAAGCGATCACTGCGTATAATAAACCAAATGTATTGAGTGAGCATATGTTTGTACCCAAAATATCTATACGATCGCAAACCAAATATTACAATAAAGCTAAATTAATCAATTATATTTTATATACATTTGCTTAATTTTAGCACGATAACAATATCGACAACACAAAAGAAACATACAAGTTCTTAATTTCATGACGATATCAAGAAATAACATATATAAATGTCTTTATGTTTTAGGAATAGTTGGCACAAGCGGCGAACTATGGAAAGACCAAAGAAAGTTCGCTGTCAACACTCTCAGAGAATTAGGGATGGCAAGTTCTGCCGCTGAAGAAAAAATACACCAAGAGTTGAATTTCCTTTTGAAAGCTTTCGAGGATGAAGGTTCAAAGGATTTTGATTGTAAACATCTGATCCTCAATGCTATGTGCAACATAATTTGTGGACTTTGTTTCGGAAAGCGTCAATATGAATACAACGACCCACGATTCATAAAGCTGATAGGCGCAGTAGAAATGATGGCAAGTGACATGGGAAATTCAAACATGGTCGATCTGTTTCCAGCCGTGAGATTGCTACCGGGAGATTTCTTTAATTATAAACGTCTTGTGAAAAACGTAACGGTTTTGAAGAAAGAGGTAGCTCGTCACGCTGAGGACCGCGTCAACAACTTTGACGCAGACAACGTTGAAGATTTCGCCACAGCTTTCCTCAAAGAGGTACGAGGCAGTAAGCAGGAGGGCAAGGCGTTTGATGGTAAAGTGAATTATATGTAATGAGCGGGTGTCTGTATTAATTAACTGATGTATACTCGGTGTCTTCAACCTATTGGTAACACTATTTATTAAAAGTTGTAAAATCTTCGTTTTTGTTTGAGATATATACAACTGAATGTCTTACAAACTTTCTTAACAGTATGGAAAAACACACCAGGCCGATGAAATGTCATTATTACGTTCGTTAAAGCTTAGATGCAACCAACAAAATATACATAATTAAAACACAATTATCCTTTATTCATGAGATATAATATACATTGCAGATTATGAAAAGAAAACCTAACAAATAAACAAAATTATAAGCGTACAATTGCAAATCAAAAGTGCAATATTTTGTTCTTGGGTTTACTACCCTCGAAACGAAGCCCCGGGATACTGAACCCAGTCAGAGCGGGTGGGCGTGCACTTAAGTGTAACGAGTACTTTCATTGGCTGGTTCATTTGCCGATAAGCTCAGGGCTCTCTCTCTCTGTGTGTGTGTGTGTGTGTGTGTGTGTGTGTGTGTGTGTGTGTGTGTGCAGAGAGAGAGAGATGTTGGGTTTTGTAAATACATGCTCATTTATTGTGCATAACATTTTGCAATCAACATCATAATATGTCATGTGTACAAGTATCACACCTGCCTGTCTGTGTAATTGCATAATGTGACAGAGATAGAACTCAGGTGCACGAGCCATAAATCAATGTGTTTTGTTTATGGTGTATAGCCTGATAGGTGTTAGTTCAAATTGCGCGTGGTCAATGATTGAAGTTGTGTATTGCATATTGTCATTAGCAGACAGGCAGGCGGACACATGGGTGTCAATAAAACAGACATTTAGTTTTGTCGATGACAGAGGCATATCAATATCACAGTTAGGAATCCTGACAATGCTCGATAATGACGTTGTTGTTAAGTATCGAACTGAGAAAGTGACTCGGTAAGAAGAACGTGTGGCGAAATAGTCAAATGAAATTATATAACAGTTAAATCGCGCCTGTGAAATATCAACAAAACATTAGAAAAATAGCTCACATCAAAGCCTACTCCGAGTACTCACTGCCAACGAAGGTTTTCCGTCTTGAAATGTCGAACGCCTCAATGATTGACACACAGCTGAGTAGATCTAGAACCTTAACAAGGTTTTTTTTATGTAACGAGTAGATCATTTACTATTTTGGTTGTTTGTGTACACAACCAAGATTAGACTACTCCTGCTCACGACCTTATAATCCGGGCATCCCGGTTCGAGCCGCGCGAACCTATTCACTGCGCATGCGCTTTCTGCGCAGGGCAGCAAAGCTCTGAAACCACTTTTCACCCCAGCTGGGCTTTTTTTAGTGAATCGTTTTACTCCGTTTTCGAGGGATTTTTTTATAGCGTATTTTAAAAAAAAAAACTTTTTAAGTTGAATTTGCATTTTTGATAATTTGTTACTGTAAGTCCAAAGCGTAAGGTATCAGAAGCTGCAAAGTTGTGTTTTACGTTCGATATATTCTGTTACAAATGGCACAATCTTTTTCAAATTTTCAGTATGGAAATTGTCAATATGCCACTTGAATGGCAATGATTTGCACGTGCAAGTCGCTCTATCCATGGAAAGTGGAGGATAATACACATGCATTGATGTTTGTTCACTGTCGTTCACTGTCCAGGTACCTGTTTGAAATCGCAGCTTAAAATGAGACGTTTATTGAAACTTGCTGAAAGGGGTCAGGCTATAGGCCTTTTGGAATCTGGCCAAACTCAGCGTCAGGTTGCTGTCCGCCTTAATGTGAGTCAGAGTGCTATTGGTAGACTGTGGCAGAGAATTCAAGCCAATGGGTCCGTGGAATATGCTCGTCAACCAGGTCGCCCCAGTCACAATTGTCCGAGCTAATAGGCACATGATTAACACTGCCTTACGTAACAGATTCTTTAACGTAGCAGATCTTCAGACAGAACACTTCAATGTTAACAATGTAAGGATATCCAGGAGCACCGTTTGCCGGCGTTTAAGGGCAGGCGGACTCCGGTGTAGGCGACCTGCAGTTCGTCCACCACTAACACCACGTCACATCGAGGCGCGTTTGAGATGGAGTAGACATCATGGCCGCTGGAATCAACGTCAATCGTCTCGTGTGTTCTTCACAGATGAAAGCAGATTAAATTTGTCCTTCCATGATGGCCGGCAGAGGATTTATCGTGGCAATGGAGAGCTAATCACAGATGCAACTGGGGCCACGCATAACTGATTTGTCGGGAGTCAGTCATGGTTTGGGCAGGAGTAACTTATACTGCATGTACTTCACTGCCCGCGGTTATCTTACCGGACAGCGTTATCTGAAGGACATTCTGGCTCCTATAGCAGTACCATTCCTGCAAGCTATGCATGGCTTTTATGGTCGACCCTCTTTACTGCAAGACGACCTAGGCCTCATAGGGCCAGGTTTGTCACAGAATTCCTTAGGCAGCAGGGCGTAGAGTGAATGGAGTAGTCAGCATGCTCGCCAGATCTCAACCCAATTGAGCATGCCTGGGATGAACTCGAAGGACGTGTGTACACACGTCGCCCAGCACCAGTGCATCTCCCAGGACTCCACAGAGCTCTAGTAGAGGAATGGAATGCGATTCCGCAAGCTTTCTTTATGAACTTGATAAGGAGCATGACCGAGGTGCACCTGTGTCTTGGACGTTCGAGGAGGGTACACAAGATATCGAATGACCGAGTGCTTCATGTTTGACATTTACATTTTGGTGATTTGGTCTATATATAACTGATATTTGCTGGTGCCGTTTGAACTTTTTGTCTGTATGTCACGATGTATCACGTTTGTCAACACATTAAACATATAATGACAATCTTAGTTCTATTATTTCTGAGAAATGTTCTTTACACGTGCTATATATCATTTGACCCTTTATTAATGACGCCCAGTATATTTGTATGCAAATAGGAAGCATACCTTTGTTATAATGTGGAGAAGGCTTTAAAACCAAATGTTGTTGATGCTTATGATGTGGTCGGATAGAACTCTTAGGTAGAAGTTTGTTGCTTTAAATTAATAATTGCAAACAGTCTCCTCATGGTCCCTTTAAACGAGGAGTTAGTACTCACAGTCACGAAATCTATTGCTTTACATTTTACAAATGTCGCACAATTTTATAAATTTTAAACAATCTCCTGTTGGCACAAACAGTTAAATATAGTAATTGAAGTCACGAAATATATTACAAATGTTGCATTGTGTTAAGAAAAGATTACCATTTCTGTTTAGAAAGTCACCTACATATGATTCTGACTGACTTCTTTGCTCCCGGAACGTTTGATGTCGGCAACAGCCTCAACTGGTCACTTCTATATCTACTCCACTACCCGGAGGTCCAGGAGAAGTGCTTCCAGCTGATCAAAGAACACATCGGGCTGGAGAGACTACCCACGATGATGGACAAACCCAACCTTCCTTACGTTGAGGCTGTGTATGCAGAAGTGTTGAGACACGCAGATGCGGTCCCCACAGGAATGCCCTATACAGTCCCCCACAATGTCCAGTTCATGGGCTACACCATCCCTGAGGGTGTCACTATATTGCCCGTGTTAAATTCAGTGCTTCACGATCCGGTGGCGTGGGGGGATCTTCGCAATTTCAGACCCGATCGTTTTCTGAACGATGAAGGGAAATTCCAAAAGAGGGAGGAATTCGTGCCCTTTTCCCTTGGTAAGACTTTAACTGATGTTGTAAACGTTTCTGATTTTGTTGCTGATACTACCAATAATAGTGACTGTTCCTTTTGATAGTAATTGGTGTTTGGCAAGACTCTGGGAAAACAAGATAAATAACAATAAGGGCTTGGTAACGCTTCTCTGTGAGGGGCCTAGACAGGGTCGAGTTGTTCCCCTCTCACGTTGGTTCAACACTGGGTAACACACCAACACGAAGTAAACACTGTCAGCCATATTGACCTTAGGGATTGAGACAAATGTAGAATACGTAAGTCGAAAATCTGAAATTCAGAGCTCAACGCTCACAATAAAGTCAACTCCACAAATGCTTCATATATATTGCATATACTTTTATTGGTGTTGATCGTACTAAATAAGACATTCAGAATACTGATATCCTAACAAAGAATCATATCAATGCATGCCCTCACCCTCGCTCTCAAGAACTCATAATGAAAGGATTTCCACAGTTTTTATAAATGAGGATTTTAGACATAATCACAAGGTCAATGTTGACTTTGTTGGTGGTTCTGTACTGGACGACGGTACAGAAATGAGTGTCAACCAAGCCTTCAGGTTTTCAAGGAAAGGCACTCTAAACGTACACTGCACCATGTTTTGAAAAGCAATTGTTCGTTCGCTTGGATAATATCTGCTGGACTGAAAATGAAAACAGAACTATAACGATATCAAATATCATGGTGTAGTCAAACCCCACAAGTATGGTAAGCAAAAAAGGTATATCATTTGTGCTGATCATGCAATAATCGTTCCTATATTTTAATTTGTTTGGCAGGACGCCGTGCTTGTTTGGGACAGTCTTTGGTCCGTATGGAACAGTTCCTGATTCTGACCACCTTGATTCAAAGGTTCAAGTTGGTCCCTCCCAGTGGAACGTTGGCACCCCTGACAGGAATAATGGGTCTTGCCCATACTGCTCCCCATTTCAAGTGCAAAGTAATACCAAGGAACATTTGAGATGAAGAGCACCGTTTCATAATAATTATATGCGCTTGTACGGTAGGTTTCTATGCGAAACGTTTTCCATTTCTGTTATTGAGAATCTAGGAATCTCGACCTAAATGTAACATTTGAAACCCCGACTAAGAAGGTCGGTTCTAAATGAAATGTCCAGGCATCCTATTTGTTAACTGGCAATACACTCCCTGTTGTGTATGTACTTTGAGGGCCTCTCTTGACCTACATTAACACTGCAGTTGCATTCAGAAACGACAGCCTGCGTCCAAAGTTTCACATACCCCGTATACCGCGTCGTTATGTATTCAGACAAAATACTGTCTTTAGAAGGCATTTTAGAAGTTGTAAAGATGTGACGGTTTCATAAAATATAGTACAAATAGTTTTAAATCTCCTATTGTGTTCTGTATTTCAGCATTAGCATTCAGCAAGCAAAATTCAGAATAAACCTTCACAGAGCATCGACCACGACTTGTCAGTATATTTAATTCCATATATTCTTCTGACCTACATTAACATTGCAAGTCGTTTGCTGTTTGGGTTGAACTCATCTAAAATGCAGTTGCATTCAGAAACGACAGCCTGCGTCCAAAGTCTCACATGCCCCGTATGCCGCGTCGTTATGTATTCAGAACAAAATACTGTCTTTGAGAGGCATTTTAGAAGTTGTAAAGATGAAGGAAATCCGAGTTCTATGGATATTCAACTTCTTTATTGCAATGACTGCGACGTTTCGGCGTAGATATTAACACCCTTATCAAACAAGTGATGATCGGATGTACTTCTTCTCCAAGTTGCTGATTGTCTTAATGGACTCAATTGCCACGTCTCCATGTAGACGGCGTATAACTTCTTTGAGATACGTTTTAGAAGTTGTGAAGATGAAGGAAAACCAAGTTCTAGATAATGAAAGAAATGTGCGGAGTAAATTCATTCGCAAGGGAAGAATTTGGTTTGTTTCGTTCTGGCTGCGGTCGCAAATGTTATGCTGAAATAGTGCGTACAGAAAAATTCTTTCAGGAAACAGAGCAAATGTGACGGTTTCATAAAATAGAGTAAAAATAGTTTCATATCTCCTATTGTGTTCTGTATTTCAGCATTTGCATTCAGCAAGCAACATTCAGAATAAACCTTCACAGAGCATCGACCACGACCTGTCAATATATTAAATTCCATATATTCTTCTGAATATAAATGCAATGTATATTTCCAGAAAGCATTCAGTGTTCACTCTTATTGTGTTGGTGACTTCTGGTAGAGTATTCTCCCTTGATTAAGACAGAATATCAGAATCTGTTTCACATTCCACAGTCCAGTAAACGTTTTGAAGACTATTGAAATGCCTTACAGACAATGTGAAAACCGTACCGTGGTATGTATTGCAGCACCGGGATTATTAATTGCCAAACAAACGAAGTTCATTGCAACATTAACTCTGAGTAAACTCCGAGACTTTTAAACTTGTCCGACGTTTATCGTTGCAGGATCAATGATACAATTTATTTAATAAAGTGTATGTATGACGCAGTTAATGTACGCTCAAAGTGCTACATTAGTTACATGTAGCATTGTCATTTACCATATGGAACTGGAACTGGAACTAAAATATCGCTATTTGACGAAATGGTTGTGAACAAACTCTTGGGTGTTTCTTGAAATAACGCCGCTCTCAGATTTAATGTTGGTTCTAAATAACAGACTGGACCAGACAAACCAGTGATCAATATTATGAGCAATGTCACAATTAACTAATCACCGAGCCTCCTCATTTCAGTCGCCAAGCAAAGGTTGTAAAATCACCAAAAACGTTGTGCAATGTTGTGTTCATAATGAACTCGTATGTTCTAACCTTTTGTTCAAAACGTTAGGTGTATCTCAAAGAACTTTGTTTGATATATTAATATTGACGAGTTATTTCTGTATGTATCATACGCTATGTGACACGCGAAAAATTAAAATAGTATTTATTCTTCTTCAGTGAGTGAGTGAGTTTAGTTTTACGCCGCACTCAGCAATACCTTCAGTGACAACCAGACTGATAAATAAAGAATTTTATGAAGGTAAGCAGTTTCTGATTAGCGTCGGTTTAATATACCACTGACGAAACATGTACAACGACTGAAGAAAGTTTTCAAGATTTGTTAAGATATTACAAATGTGTTTCATTTCATTAAACCAAACGAAAAGTAGAAGCCACAAAACTATTCCAGAATCGTTAACAATGTCAGCTAAAAGTTCAATGTACAAAACTTCAATGTACTGTTCCGAAATAGCTGTATCATTAACCTTCTAGCGCCTAACAGGCAGCTTTTGTCGGGAGTCGAAATGGTAATATGTTACGTCTTTCAGAAATAAGTCGTGCACTGAAGCTGAAATGTTCATCTCTAGTTTTATAGTGAATCGTGCCAAAGGTGTTACGTCGTGTCAGGGCGTGAGGTCACACTTCATAAACAGGTACGTACTGTCCTACTCCAGATGGTCACGTGTCAAATCACTCCCGGGGGTTGTCTTGGGTGTGTCAATATGTTCAGGGAGGACGAACGCGTCAAATGTTTTTAATTGACAATTTGTTCAGAAACAGTTATGGTTCTAAAAAATGCATAGCTCATACACATGCTTACATGCATTCTTAGTGCATTCTTGATTGCTACACAAACACGTTTTCTTTATCTCAGCAATAGATTTATAATGTTCTTTTCTTTAAGGTACTTTGTATCATCAGATCAAGTGGGAGTTTTAGAACTGACTCAAAAACACTATTGCGTTTATGGACGTATGAATGTAGATAAAATAGTATTAACACAGTGTGGATTTCAATAATCCTCACCAAAATGACCCGTGAAGATCCATGGTAAATGGTCTTCAGCAACCCATTTAGATTCGTAAGACTAGGGATCGCCGCTCACTTTCTTTGAAGTTACCCAGATCAATGCCATGCTGTTGATCACTTTGTCTGAACTCGATTATTTACAGACCGCCGCCATATAGCATATTGCTGACACCGGTTCTTTCACTTTTAGATTATATGCACGCCCTTTCTTTGAAGTTACCCTGCCCTTTCTGAATCCTAGGGGAACACTGCACACGGGTTCTTACGTTTATAACGAATTAAATGCAAAAAAAAACCCACTTTATTAAGTCGAATGAGTGAATCAATAATAATAACAGACTACTCGTTTAATTATTAGCACAAAAAGAACAGTAGACAACAATGCAAGCCGTCCATTCTATTATGGACCAATCAAGAAATACATCAAGTACATCGGAAATCCATCAGTAGTTCGGTCTATGCAAACATTAACGCAAAATATTATCTTGTGGCAAATTAATGAAACGGAATAACTTGCACGTTATTTATAGTTTATTTATTAATTGTATATGCACTTATTTGTAGGCCATGAAATACTTTTACCTGGATATTCAACCACAGTGATATACCTTAGGCACAGTAATAAAGTATAAATTAGGCATTCGTATAGCATTACGCAAAACATATATTTTTAACATTCGATTACATTGCAAAACTTATGAATCGTTTATAAACTACACTAAGGTTCTGAAACTTTGAAACCATCTTCGAGGCAGGTTTCGCAGTTTCGGTTTCGCGTTCTCTCACAAGAAACATGGCGGAAACGAAGTTGAGCTGATCTTGGTGGCAAAATAGAGCAGTTGTTTCTGTATCCAAAAATGAGAAAAAAATGAAAGGAGAACTAGGAAAATATTATTTAAAACCCCAGTCTATTGAACATGTCTATTTTATGTAACTTGTATACATATAATTACTTGTAACTGTATAATTACATATACGCAAATATTTACCTCCAAAAGCATCTCATCTCTTTATTATTTTTTAATTTCCTCATAAAATGACAAAAATGCAGTTATTCGATTCGTTCCACATATATAGTAGCTTTGTCATATATTTTCTATCCATTTTGAAACCGGATGGTGAAACCATCCACTCACTCCTTTATAAAACTAGAAACTGGTTTCACTTTGAAACCATGTATCCGAAATTCTACCATGAATCAAGAAAATACTAGATTCTGATTGGTTGTTCAGAAAAATCAGACGGCATCAATTGTGGATTGACGCTCATCTGATTGTAAGGCCGCTTCACCGCGCATTGACAAATCTTATTGTGAGAACTACTTCCGTTTGACCACAATGATGGCGGATCATAACAACAACTCCATGGATTTTGACGCTGACTTTCGAATATTCCACATAGGCAATTGGAAATTTTTGGATTAAAAATGCGTTTGATTTCATTGCGCTTCACTGCCGCACTACTTCAGCTTGACCACCAACAGGACTAATATCAACACAACAGACGTGATGGAAATGCTGATAAAACATTTATTTAACCTCGAAAAATACAATTATATGATTCCCCTCACAATTACGAGGGAACCTAACTATCATATTACCTTCTATTATAAAAATATTCAAACTCAGTTACAATACACAGCCCCAAACATAAACAAAACAATATCTAACATATAAATCAGAAAGCCTTGTAAAAATACATCCCTATCTATACAAAATATGCAGCAAAACATTAGTAAACATTTACCTACCTGGTAAATGGTATATTTAATTCCGTTTAGAATGGGAAATTTGCAAGATAGATCTAACGGTCTGGCGAAACACCACATTTATGCCACTCATAGTCATACTCCATCCTATCCCGTTGCATCGTTCACAAAATAATTCTGCTCTCTGCCAGCTTCCCCGCAAGGTTGTCACTGTTATGTTCATCTACTTTGAAAAACGCTTGGACACAGTCCAGTCCCAAACGATGAAAACAAAGTTCCAAGGAATCACAAGTTAGTCGCATGTACACTAAGCAGCAGCACTGTCACCCTTTTGTCGCATGCCGGGGTGGAGGCAGTACGTGAAATCATGATTGGCCGGTCATAAAATCAACAGTCTTTGTTGAATTACAGGTCGTAGGTTGATCAGGAAAGGATCTATTCTTCGATTCTGCAGGGTTCGGATTCGACAGTCATTCAAGTATTGCCCACTGGGAGCACCTTTAGAATACAGCACCACAACTTCTCGTGAGGACGATCTCTGCCGTAGGTCACGTGTCATTAAGACAAGCAACCAGTTTGTGAGAACAGGTCGGACGCGAACCCGCGACCTTCGGATTGTTAGCTCGACAGCTAACCGACTGAGATACGTCCACACTGTTGCGCAATGTGCAAATTTATCGAGTCATTCCTGTGATTCACGGAAATGAACGGAAAGAGTCGAATAGATCACGGACAATTACGATTGCTACGGGTAGAATTGGTGTCTCGTGATTTTATTCTCCGGACAATTTCCGAATGGATCCGATGCCATTTGGCACGCTCGTCCCGTTCCGTAATCTACAAATTAACGTGTGGCGTGGAATGAGCCGATATGCCTCAAACTGAAAAGGGTTGTTGACGTCAGGCGTCAGACGTAGATTTCACGGT